AATGAAATATTAAATGAAATATTTATCACAAACGCCACCTCATTTCTACTAGTGCTAGCAGTTAAGTCATATCATACAGAAAAAGCCGACTAAGGATGGCTGACACGGTCAGGTTCAGCGGATAAAAACCAAAATAACAATAAAAACACATATCTAAATCCTGCTTGTTAGTTACCCAGCATCATTGATATACAGTGTTGTGCTAGTTACTGAAAACCAGTAACTAGTTACCATTACTAGTTACTTCATTTCAAAAGTAACTCAGTTACTTTACTAGTTACTTACACCAAAAAGTAATGCGTTACTGTGAAAAGTAACGTTTTCGTTACTTATTAAAAATGGCTCCCATTAATTCCCTTATAGCCTTCCTTTCAGTACTTTTATTGCATTGGAGAATAATACAATCTGTTGATCAACTTGACATGCATTATATGCAATCTGGATTGCATCGATATTAGCTGGCTTTCCATTTTTGTATATTATTTCTCCAGGTAGTTGGAAAAAGTTTTCCGTCCCATATGCCGTGTGCCGCCCGGACATGCTATCATGCTAACTAGCTCCCTGAAAGCGGGTGACTCCACTGTAGCAATAGCCTGCATGTGTTCTACAACATAACGTGCAATGGCTTTATCGACTTTTCCCTGGCTAGCAGTCCCTTGGTTAAAATCCAGCCGCTGTTGCTTAGGTGGAGGTGGAGTGGCGTCGGCTGAGTCTCTGTGGTCTTAGCTACTAGCTTCGTCCCAGCATGTTGTTTCTGCAGATGTTTTAAGAGATTTGAATTACTGGTTTGGGCAGTAGATAGGATCTTTGACCCGCCAAGACACAACTTACATTTAACTAAAACGTTCTTTTCTTTGTGCTCGACAAAAGTGAAATAGTGAGAATATCTCCAGGTGGAGAAACTAGACTTGAGCTTCGCCGCCGCCATTATAGTCTTGTTAGTAAACAACACAAACACGCCCACAGCCCGTCTCCGCATGTGACACAGGAAGTATCTAAGTACATTTACTTAAGTACTGTACTTAAGGTAGGCTACTCATCTCTGTTCACCTGGCTGTTGACTATATAAAAAAACTAACGAGGTAACGGAGTAACGCACCATGTAGTAACGGTAACTGAGTTACTGAAGTAAAGCGTTAGAGTACTAGTTACTGCCAAAAATAACGGCGTTACAGTAACGCGTTACTTTGTAACGCATTAGTCCCAACACTGTTGATATATAAGCTGCTAGCGATTCATTACTGAAATCTTACCTTCAAAGCTGACGAAGTCGCGCTAGCTAACTAGCAGGCAATGCTAGCTAAATTGGTTGTAACAACCAAGATAAAATATAGATAATTACGCTGTGCATATACAAATGAAGACCAGTATAAGCATCATAAAGGGCCTCTGATACAATATAGACAGTTGACAATTCAAAAGAGTTCGATATTTCAGCAACTTACCTCTGGAACTAATCGACGCGCCGTAATGTAAGTGAATGAGGTTCAACGCCCAAATGACAATATTTTGAACTATTTCGATGTCCATACCCCGGAAGTAGGCGCCGCCATTTTTTACAACGGAGGTCGATGGGAGTGTCGTAACTCTTATCTCTCTAGGGCTCTGAGTTGCACTACGTTTTGATAACAGTTAAATATTATTTTGATAATAACATATATTTCAATGTTGATGAGCTTCATACTGTTCATTCATAATCTGATCGTCTTTGTAGCTCACTGTTGAAATAAAAACAAATCATTACAATTACAAAATAATTATATCTACGCCCCTAAACACACAAACACACCACTTTCATAAATAACACACTTGTTCTGCAATAATATGTTTTATGTTTCCTGTCATTTTTGTTAGGAAAGGACATGCCTGAAAGACACGACATTTTCTCCTTCTCTGAGGGTCAAGAAGAACATCCAAGAGGAACATTAACAGCTGATGTTATGAGATTTTAAGACCAGTACAGGACATTCACTAAGAAACTACTTTTATTGTGAAAACACAGTCAGCTGATCGAATACACCTATTTCCACATCTACACTCCATCAGCTGATTATTTCTATTTGCCTCACTTTATGAGATTCACATCACTTGTGCCTTGTCCCGCAGAGTTTGCAATGTCACAAATAAATGGGGCCAATCTTCAGTCAGATGTGAATGTGTAATCTAACATTTTCAGTAAGAATAATGGACGAAAGGAGTGCAAATACAAATACAATTTATTGAAATGTGAACCAAAAGTTAATCAAAAATGTTTTAAATAAAAAGCACATATGGACAGAAGGTGTAAACCTATTAAATGTATAAGTAAACACATTTAGTCAAATAAAGTGACCGACTAGGCCTGTGCAGTTGGTATCAGCTTTGCCCAGCATGCTCCATCAGGCCTGGTCCTCCTCGCTGAGGAAAGACCCTCAGTCCTCCTCGCAGAGGGAAGACCCTTAGTCCTCTCCAAACCAACAGACAGGACGTCCATCACACGGAGGTTTCTCCCTGAAGTCTCTGCAGCTCTCTGGACACCATGCTGTCTCAATCCGTCCACACTGAATATGAGAGGGGAAAAATGAAAATAATAAATGCTTTGGACAATAAGAAATATAAAGTTGACTGTTGAGTTGCTCAGTTTTTTTAGATTGTCAATAATATTACTGTATAACTAATATCTCAGGTTAAGAGGCACATTCAAATAAAGATTGGTCTTTAAATACATTTTGTCTTTTTAATTGTTTGTCTAAAGTCAAGGATCTAGAACTGGTACTTAGTTTTAATGATTCAGTTATTATGCTGTTTGGAGGAGGCCTCACAGGTAAGAGCACTAACTAGCAACCATCACATGTACCTTAGCTTGACTTAAATGTATTAAACGTGTAATTAAGTTATATCAAAATATAAATAACTAATGTCATGCAAACATATTAATATTTGCTTGATTCCAGTGTTGATTTTAAGATTCTGAAGTATTATGCTAAAAACTCAATAACTTAGATTATTATTTATAGTTTTGCTGAATAGTTTCATGTCCGCTTACCTTGGAAACGTAAAATGCGACGGCAGTGTGCAGATGGGGAGCATGTTAGCTTAGCTTGGTAGCTTCAGCTAGCTCTTAATCTTCCAGCTCGGTGGAAGCAGGTCCCGCCTCGGCTCCGCCTCTTTGCCCTTATTTGGAGCAGGCGGGAGTTGAACTATGACGTCACTGTCGAGCCGTTAGTGGCCGACTCCGCCTACTAAGGGCTTCACGGCAACTCTGCAGAATCCTATGGGTGACGTCACGGACACTACGTCCATTTATATATACAGTCTATGTGTTGAAGACTAACCAAAGTATTTTTTGTATTTTTGATGACTGATATTGAACCATTCCATTTTGATTGTATGTTTTTTATATGAGTTATGTACTATGCAAAGTTCAGATGAAGTATTATTGACATACCCTAAAGGGTCTGTAAGGAGGGATTGTTAGAAATTAAAATCAATATTTAATGATACAAGATAGTTTAAACAGTCATTTTATAACTGTTTTATTGTGAAAATACTTCCGGTTAGCTTTCGCCTGCGGTTAAAGTTTATTTTGAAAAGCTATTCCGGAAGGGATCTCCGAAATACCAACAGTAAGCTTGACTTCAGGTTTTACGGGAAACACGATTACAGCCATTAAAATATATTAAATAAAAATTAATGAAAGGGAGTATGAGGAGAAAAGGCGTGTTTAGTTATGTATTGAACGTACAATGTCAGAATCCTCTGTTATGCGCAATAACAGACATTGAAGACCAAAGGAGGGAGACCACAGCCGCCACTGAAGAGGAGGAGCCAAATGAGATATATAGTCAGGTGATGGAGCTTTGTGGGGTCTCTTTTTCCACGGCCCGGACTGAGAGGAAGCTGCAGTTTTTCTCTCCTCACATCTCCTGCTTGTTAAATTACTGCGCCATTTAATTAAAGTACCCATTTGAACCTTTCTCAGAGACTCCTTTGTCTCTTACTTTTAAAGCTTCTCTCCTGGACGCGAGAATAACGAATACTCTAATACCTGTTGAGTCAGAGTCAGTCAGGAAGTGAGAGATGCTCTGTCTACAGCTCAGGTTGGTGAAGTCGAGGACTTCTAGGGTGTTTGGATAGTCAATGTGAGTCTACATGAGGCTCAGTGGTTCTGTAACATTTTAGTAACCATGCTGCTTCACAAAGGGAGGAGGAGAGGCTCTGAGACAGGTGGTAGAAGACCTGCACGCTCACCACTATAAATGAACAACAAAAATAACATAAATAAGTTTGATTTATTTGTTATTGGTTATGACCATATTCTAATAATTTTTTGACAATTGAAATGTATAAAGATATTTTTCATTCGGGTGTTTCATCCACCCCACACTTAAAATATGACAACATGGATGGGATACGTAATACATTCCACACTTTTACATTGTGTGTGTGTGTGTGTGTGTGTGTGTGTGTGTGTGTGTGTGTGTGTGTGTGTGTGTGTGTGTGTGTGTGTGTGTGTGTGTGTGTGTGTGTGTGTGTGTGTGTGTGTGTGTGTGTGTGTGTGTGTGTGTGTGTGTGTGAGTGAGAGAGAGTGAGAGAGATAAAGAGAGTGCACCTGTGTGTTTTTAAACGCAAGTGTCAGCTGGAGATCTCTGACCTGTGCAAGTCTAGCCTCTGGATGAAGATCATCTTGTTACGTTACATTACAAATGACCCCCCCCCCCCTCCCTCCTTGAAAAAAAGGATAATTGGCTTCCAAACATAAATTATCTTACTTTATTTTATGACTCAATCTGGCAGGAAACTAGCTTCACATTTATTTTTGGCTTCTAGTTTGGCATTGTTCTGTAATCCGTAGCCTTCTTTCATATTCTTGTCCCTTTCCATTGTTACTTGGATGTATATACATTTGAATGAATGAAGAATAGGGAGAATTGTATGGCTGATACCGGAGTACCATTTCTGAATATTGAAATGTTTATTGATACAATACATCATATACATTGTTTATTTGTTGTACTTACCCAATGGCACCCTTGCAGCGGAGGCATCAGGGTTGATCCAGAATGATAACCAGGACAAAACGACAATCAACAGAGTTGGAGCATAAACCCCCATCAAGTAGAAACCAACCTGCCTACGCAATGTAAAAATCACTTCAACGCAGGTGTAGTATCCTGGAAACACACAGAGAAAAAAATTGTAATGCACACTGTGTAGGTATGTTTGCAATGGGTGTATCTTACTTAACAATAAAGGCTTCTTTTTGTGCAACCCAGGGGGTTTGGAGGCAAGATTCACAATAAATAGAAGACAGTTGACTTGAAACCTAAAGTCTCTTTTGATAAAGAATGTAGGTGGAAGTGGAGGGTGTCTAACCTGAACTAAAGTTTCCTTCCATTCAGATACTTATTTTTAGGCTGTTACACTTTACCGTGGATAAGGGCAAAGAGAGATTGTAAGGGAGCTGATTCCATAAAGCATGCAAACAAAAGAGGGGACAACGTTTAAATTAAACAGACCTGTATGAACTTAACAAAAATCATGGTGTTTTTTGCATGCAGTGAAATTTGACAATTTTACCTATACTAAAATTGGTTTCTGAACAGTTTCCAGAAACCCTTTTTTTTTTTACCATCCATTCATCAAAATGTAAGTTGTCTTAATGTGGTATTTTGGAGGGATACTTGAAATGTTTTCATCATCTCTGAAGTAATAAAAACAAAAAGTAAAATACCAAAACAAAGGTTTCTATAGAAACTTAGGAGACATTGTAGGGCAGTGGAATTGCCATCACATACTTCTATAATAACAATATAAGCACTTTTCAGAATATTTTCATCCGGTTCGACCTGACATGGCTGTGTGACTGACCCGAGTTTGCGCCTCCTCGTTCTGATAGCTCCGTCCCTTTGCTCCAACCCCCCTCCCCCCACATATACAGGTGAAAATTACTTTAGCGACACATTCATCGCAAGAAGTGTAGCAAAAGTCAAGGCCGCAGATTTGTCGATGTATACTGCCACAGAGCAGATTCGTGAAGTTGTAATGACTGATTTGAGAGGTTGTAATAACCAAGTTGCAGTTGTAATGGAAAATATATTTAAAAAATAAATATTTTTCTGAAAGTGAACATTTCATCACTAAGTTCATTTTTTTTCTTCTGTGACTTCAAATTTGGTTCACAGATACGTGGATATTTTATACAAGTGTAAATGTATGCACACAAGCGCTCACATCAGGTTTTACAAGCTCTCGCATTTTGCACCATATCTACCTTCATAGAATGTTTGGTCAAACACTTTGTGTTTTGTCTCATAGTAGCGTTTCACATTGGCACTTCAAAGGTCCGCCTGTTACTGAACTATGCTATAGGGCAGGGGTCGGCAACAGGCGGACCGGACCAGTAATCAATACATTAATAGGGGATTTCAATTTTGACGGGGCGATTCTATTTTAACTGCCACCGACAGGGGGCGAAAGAGACGAGTGAGCAATACAGGGAGAGAAACACAGAAGAAGAGATGGGAGAAGCAGAGAGGAAAGTGAGCGAGGAGAATAATTAGCGATACAGGGAGAGAAGCGGAGAGTGAACAGGCGTGTTAGCGGCAGGCAGGGAGAGGCACATAATTACACATGGCGCTCTCCAAGAAGAGGAAAGTGGACAGAGAGAACAGAGCTTTGAACCCTGAGTGGAATCATTCATCCTGCCCACTGGGAGCACAGAGCCAGTGTGTCTCATTTGTTCAGAGACCGTGGCGCTCATTAAAAGTGCCTAAACGCCACTATGAGACAAAACACAAAGTGGTTGACCAAACATTCCCTCTCAAGTCAGAACTGAGGTCACAAAAACTAAATATCGTTCCAGGGAAGGCTAACCAATGAGCACCTGCATGTGTGTATGAGGAGGGCCCTGACACAATTTCAGCCCAGATTTAAACTCGAGCTCAATTCTCACACTGAATAAAAACAAGTGAGTGAGGGACTGCAATATAAGAGGGAAAGAAAGAGAAACTTTAACTCTGTTCAACACAAAAGTTATGATGTAAAGACTGATGTTGTTCTATAAACGTCTGAAACTGTTAAGCCATGATGTGAAACGGTTAACAAAGAAAAAGGGAAACTCAAGCTGCTGCTACACTTTATTTTATTTATCTAAAATTAAGCACTTTTAAGATGCACATATTTTCAAAAGCTATTTTATTTATTTTCTCTATTTTATTTTTAAATGCAGCCCGAGAGGAACATTACACATATCCACAGTATTTACTGTATATCTGTATAGTTCAATGTTAATTGATAATAAATAGTTGTTTTTGAATTGTACTTTCTTTATTTGATTGGCAGTCAGTTGTTGATTACATGCAGACGTTGATAAAGCTGCAGCTACTTCAATATATATCACACTAATTCATAAAGCAAGTTAGACATTTTGATGTTCCGGACCTTTGCATGGGGAGATTTTCTCTAACTGGACCTCGTTGAATTTTATTTGAATACCCCTGCTAGGGGGTCCAGCCCTGAAGACATATACAGGCCAATGATGTATTTTCCCCCACCCCTACAAGCGGCCGAGATGGGTTTTCTCCGCAGGGTGGCTGGTGTCTCCCTTAGGGATAAGGTGAGAAGTTCGGTCATCAGGGAGGGACTCGGAGTTCAGCCGCTCCTCCTTCGCGTCGAAAGGAGCCAGTTGAGGTGGTTCGGGCACCTAGTTAGGATGCCACCTGGGCGCTTCCCTAGGGAGGTGTTCCAGGCACGTCCAGCTGGGAAGAGACCAAGGGGTAGACCTAGGACCAGGTGGAGGGATTATATCTCTTCGCTGGCCTGGGAGCGCCTTGGGATCCCCCAGTCAGAGCTGGTTGATGTCGCCAGGGAAAATAAAGTTTGGGGCTCTCTGCTGGAACTGCTACCCCCGCGACCCGACCACTCATTAACCGTTTGCCGTAGACTCTTGGGGAAGGTGTCATTGCACTCAGCAGGGAGTTTTTCATTGGTAACACTTTGCCCCGCCCACATTTTTGCCAACCCCCTTCATAACTCATGAACCATTTGTCATAGACTCTTGTGGAAGGTTTCATACCCCTTAGCATTTTTTAATGGTGTCCGGCCACATACATTCAAGCTCTGCCCAATCAAATAAGTTGTGCAAAGTTTGCCGAAGACACTAGTGAGAGGTACGTTTCACTTGATTCAATGTGGGCGTGGACACGTAGGCTGGCGACCCGAATGAGATAGAAGTCAAATGACAATAGCAACCTTTACTTCAGGATGTCTTCTGTCAATCAAGGTGATATTAATGCATTACCAGGGGCCATGACAACATTTGCTTAAGACTGAACTTGCCCCATCAAAGGGGTAAGTTGATCTGCTTTAATAATTATAAAGACTAACCTGTTCCTTGGTAGTATTTTGTGCAGTTTCCATATATGATGTCTTCTTGTTTGATGTCAAACTGAGGGAGAGCAATCTCATCCATCTGAACTGGGTCAGACTGCCACATGAACACAAGATCACTGGTGGTATATCCAACTAAAACATTAAAAAAGTAATCATTTATATGTTACAGTTTTCCCTTACAAGGCATTCATTTCAAAACACACAATATTTGAATTTGATTTATATTCTAACATTGTATTGTTTAAATAATTTGTAATTCCCTTTATTTTGTACTTTTCTCAGTTTTGGCTGTATATTTGGGACAGACCTTGTAACATATTGTGCATCTTTAGCCACTCCATTATTTAACATAAACTATGATCTGCAAGTTGCATTTATGTAATTGTTTACATCATGTAAAGTTTAGTTGTTCGAATTATCCAGAAAAAAATCCTTTACCAGATCAACTAAATCTAACATTTCCTACACGCAGATCATATACATTAGAAATGCACAGTTGAAGAGTTCTTGACCACAATTATAACTATGGAGCATTTTTTTTTTTACAAGTGGGTCCCCATTATCTGCCAATTACACAAGTATACTACTGGTACTAAGCTGACACTCTGCTGCTGCAAAAGTTGAATGACAGGAAAATAAAGATGACTTACAGCAACCAATGTTTTCGCTCAGCAAGTGAAAACATTTGCTTTATCCTGACTAAACTGTGAAAGTTCGCTTTTCAAGGGCTTGTTTACTGCCTGTAATTATGCAAATTGTGTGTGTTCGTTTTTGTACTCACAGCTCTCTAGCTGCATCTTGCAACGCTGTGTGTCCATTGGGAAAAGTCGGAGATCCAAGGGACAAGACATTGTAACTGACAGCCTACACTCAGTCACACACAAACACACAAAGAAGACAAATGTCGTAATGATTACTAATACTTTTCAAATATATCACTTGTTTACTCCACAGAGAAGAAGAGCTGTACCAACTAGCTGCACAGTTATGGGCGGCATCCCAAGACTCATTACTTGCATCCACGTTTCCCTCAATCACGTGCATCATCATTAAATTGTGCATCAGCAAAAAGTAAGAGTAAGAAATGGAAAAGTTGAGGCGAAGAAAAAGGAGACCCTTCAGGCAGAAGTTTCAAAATTACAGACATGTTTGCTGAAGGTGCAGGGTACAGCTGGCCGCTGTTGGTGGTGAAGAGAATAGAGAGAGAGATCAGCGCGAGGGTGGAGAGAGAGTAGAACTTGCGGTAAACAGAAGTTAAGAAAATAGGTTGGCCGCCCGGCTCAACAACATGTTGTAGGGGTGACAAGGTTATGATACTGTTTAATTTAGGACCCCATTAATATCCCTTGATCAGAATCAGAATACCTTTATTAGTCCCACAGAGGGGTAATGTACGTTGTTACAGCAGAAAAAGAGCCACAGACAGCTTAATGTTACATATGTTACATGTATTAAAAAGTTACACAATTTACAAAAAACACATCCTGTAACAGTTCTTAGGATTTAGCAGCCAGGTATATATTGCACATAGGGCTGCTCAATTAATTGTATTTTAATCGCAATTACTATTTTGGCTTGCAACGATTATGAAAACAACATAATCAAAATAAAAAATAAACATTTTATTTTTATTTTTTATTGGTTTTTCATCAACTGTTAAAAACACTGTTTTTTCAATAAATGGATGTTTTCAAAGTAAATGGATAATCGTTTTTAATAATCGTGATATCAATTATTGACCCAAATAATGGAGATTATGATTTTTGCCATAATCGAGCAGCCCTAACATAGCACATATTGCACATAGTTGGTTGTTATTTAACAGCAAGGGGTGTTATAGTCTGTGTGGGGGGGGGGGGTCTTCTAGGGTTGTATAGTCTGACCGCTGCAGGAAGGAAGGACCTGCGGTATCTCTCCGTGAGACAGCGGGGGTGCAGCAGCCGCTGAAGGAGCTGCACAGTGAGGACAGGGTGTCCTGGAGGGGGTGGGACACATTGTCCAGCAGGGAGGACAGCTTGGCTGCCATTATCCTGTCTCCCACCAACTCAACAGTGTCCAGAGGACTCCCCAGTGTAAGAGAATATTTTCATCTGATCTGTTTATAGAGTTTCTTATTGTTTTATAGAATCTGTGATACTGCAAACATCTGCTTGTAGTCAGTCAAAGACCCCTGTGTAGGTTGAGGCTTGTCTGGATCTCTTTGAGACAAGTAGACTATTGTCTCACATCTGCTACTAATTAGGTATACGCGGGCTTTCTGGGAGCCCGCCTCTCCTCGTGTTGGTTAGATGTTTTGTGTCTTTTGGTTCAGAGATTACCTTGGTGGAGCACAAGGACAGTGTGAAACTAGGATGATTTCCCGGCCGTATGTAATTGTCTGTCTCTCAATAAATATCAGTGTATTGACAGGTGAATCCAGTTTCCCTCATTTGATGATGCGCTCAACATTGCTGCAAAGAAGTTTTTACTTCACAATTGGCGTCGCGAACAGTTACCAACAAATCGTCGAGCTGGTGAGTGTAATTTCAAATCTATATTTTGACATTGCCTCGCCAGACTCTGTGATTGACGGTATAAAATTACCTGTGGAACAGATAGATGCAATATTTTTGGTTTCCTCTGTGTGTGTGCACGGCAAATATTCGGAGAGACCTTAAAGAGGGCATCAGTAATGTGGAACTTCGGTTTAAAAGCAATGTAAAGATTTGTACTGAAACGAATCGCCGAATTCTGGAGATTTCAACGGTTTAACTAGTTAAATCAACTCGCCTCGAAATGTTCCTGTTGCTGCCGTGGGGTGCAGGGTGTGGGTAATTCCCCTCCCCCCCCCCCCTGTGGGGAGCAGCACACACGGGGATACACAAAGCACAGTGTCGTATCTTCTTAAATCGCACCATTATGAGTTTTGGAACTAAACAGAACTCTTATTAACGGGAAACGTGATACGAAATATTACGTCACGCTGTGTTTCATAAACTGAGGGGTTGTTGAATTTGGCTGTTGTTAAAATAAAGGGTACTGAATTCATTAAAAGTCTCTGCTCTCCGGATCGGGGAGGGCAGAGCACCACTAAATTAGCATAGTGGTTGTTGATTGAGAATAATGTGGTTATTACTCTTCAGCAGATTCCGTTCTTAGAATTAATTAAATTAATTAATATCTCTGCTCTCGGTCGGTTGAGCAGTTTTACCACTACATTTGCATAGTGGTTTTGATTGAGAATAAGGTAGTTTATTTCTCATCAACTGAATTAATGTTTAACAACACAGACTTGTATTTTTTGTTAATCACACCATAAGCTCAAGAACTAAATTGAGCTATTAAATGGGAAGGGTGGTGGCAGAATATTACATTCACACTGTGTTTAATAAACTTACGGATTATTGAATTGGATTTTGTTTAAAAAAAAAAAATTTAAAAAATAAATAAATTTAAAAAAAAACAATAAGTAAAAAATAAGTACTGATATTTCCCTACCCCCGCTGAAGTTTCCCTAATTCGGATTAAAATTAAACTGGATGAGTTTAGCTGTCACCTGATATTTGTTGCGGGTTCATGTTTGTTTGTATAATTGTTTCGTGTTTGTTTGTATACCTGCCGTCTTGTGCATGTTTTTGTAACAACTAATAAAATGAATCAGTCCACAGCCAAGGTAAAATGAATCTAAATTTCCGCAAAAGGAAAATAAATAGCAAAAAAGCCTCTGTTTTACACCCGGGAACCTCAGAGGCATAACTGCGGGTCATCTGTCTGCTCAAATAGGTCAATGTTATATTATTTGTTTCATTTATTCTTAATCTATGTATTGTATGGTAATAATGAAAATAAAATAACCTAATGTATTGAACACATTCCGAAACAAAGCAGATAAGACAAGACTTAGACACAATGGTGATTGAACCTTTTTGCACGATTGATGCAAAATGAAAACTTTGTCATTGTCTGTTTCCAACTGGCCACTGGAATCAGATAATGGATATGAGTTGAAGTTCAATTACAGTTTTAAATATAGTTCAACATTCTTTATTTAACTGTTTGAAATTATTTCTAGTCAAAATCCCCTCCTTTTCTATACTCTGCTTGGTGCTGCAGAAGAAGAAAATAAAATAAAATGCAAGACACGGGGTCAGAGACAGGCGTGACCTCTGGAAGGAGAAGATAATCTGAAGCAGACCACGGCGCGACCCATTGGGGGTTTTATGACCACAGCACAAAGGAAGATCTAATTTCAGCAGTCAGTTTTTTTGGCAGAACTTTTGAGCATTTTTAAAATGTCTTTTCTTGCCTCTGTGCAAGGCTTAGTCTTTCTATCTGTATAGCCACTGGTGTAAAGTAACTAAGTTCATAAACTTAACAAGTCCTATACTTGGGCACAATTTTGAGATACTGGTACTTTATTTGAGTATCTAAAATGTTTTGCTGCTTTATTTTTCTACTCCACTACAGTTCAGTGGTACATGGTGTACTTTTACTCCACTACATGTATTTAATACCTTTAGTTACTTCACAGATGTGGATGAATGATGTGAAATATAACCAAGTGTTGAATCAGATTTTAGTTCCACCTGGAGTAAATCCACCAGCTACCCTGCAGTATACAAAGTCATTCAAACTAGCTGCACCTTTACCAGCTTTGAGAACACTTTAATGATCAATCATTATAAAACATATCATATATATTATTCTGAAATAAACCAATCTGCACAACGACTACTTTTACTGTCGCTATTTTCACTATATTTTGATGACAATACTTTTATACTTTTACTTGAGTAACATTTTGAATGCAGTACTTTTACTGTAACTTAGTATTCCTACACTCTGGTACTTCTACTTGTACTCAAGGACAAGATCTGAGTACCTAAGCTAACGTTAGCCAGAAACCTTCCATTTTGACACAAAGAACAATGGGGTAATTTCAAAGTAATTCGAAGTAATTCACACAGCCTCTTCCCTATGGGAGGAGCAGCAGTTTCAGCTTCATTTAAATATGTCGCGTAGTTATAGATGGATTTATTTTTTCCTCTAAAAGAGAGAATGTGTATTTTATGTTAGTATTTCAAAAATCTCCTGGGGGAGAATCCCCCCAGACCCCCTGCGGGGGTTGGGTTTTCAGCATGTGAACTCTTTCACTTGTGAGGAAATGGCAGGATTGGCTCCAGGTCGCCTTTTTATTTACTACAAGACAAATGTTTTTATTTTATTTTAATTTCATACAGTTCAATTTGGATTGAGACAGGGAAATATTCGAAACCTCACGCGTGGCGTTTCACTGACAAGGGGGCGATATAGCGTGTATGTAATTACATTTCAAATACTGATTTGAGCCCCACCACTGTATGGGTTAGCCCTACCATAGATTATCTAACACAAATACTCGGGAGCCGATAAGTCGATAAGTTGCTTATCGCGACAGGCACACAATAAAACAGTGGAAACAAACATGTGTTTGACTTTCATTATTTAATGAAACTGTGTGCCCTTTATAGTCTGTGTCCAATATTGTGTATTTGTATATATATATTATATATATATATCCTAAGTATATGCTAAGGTCCCGCTACGGACACGATAGCAGTCGCTTCGTGCGCATGTGTGTAATTAAACCCATGATATCAAAATCTCACTCCAGCCAGGTACCCAAAGTTAGCAACCCTGTCCATACCCCAATTATATTTTATTGATGACAAGTTTGCATCCCTGCCTGTTATCGTTTTCATCACGGAGCTGGAAAAATGGTGTATTGATTACTGATCTGTGCAAGTCAAATTTGTTAACTGACTTTGGTTCTAATGTTAATGTTAATTTGATTTCAACCCATAAGTAATTATTTAAATTAACTCAACATTCCACATGATGGATTA